AGACTCCCCAGGGTTTATACTCTGGAAATGCCCACAAGGATTGCTGCATTGAGACTGATCTGTTCAACCCGTTATCATGAGGTAGCAGTGTTGCCTTGTCCCCTACTCTGCGGGCTCATGGGGGAGCTGGTGCCTGTCAGTGCTATGTCACACCTGGCATAGAGGTTGGGCTGGAGGCCTGTCTGCTGGCTTCTGGAGCTGAAGGTCTGGGTCACAGTGAAAATTTGGGATGTTTATGGAGCATCACAAATGCCTCTCTCTCACCACTCTGTCATTTTCTTTGTATAACTGTGCAGCCTTTCTGGGATGTTTGGGACTTCAGTCGACCTTCATGGGCTCCACCCAACATGACATGGGAGCTGATGGGATTCTTTTAGAAACCACTGCCCACATCCTTTGAAAACAGATCTTTCTCAGCTGGTTGTGGGGACCTGTCAGAGTCTGAGGACCTGGTGTGCAGGGCAGGCTCCAAGCTCTTTGTTTCTGGAACTCCAGCTTCCCAAGGAGCACTGTGCAGACTGACCGCCAGCTGCCCATGTGCAGGTCAGAGGCTCTGACACTGTCTGGTTTCCAATGCTTCTGGAGACTTCTTGCCTAGGCCTCATCTTCTTTGCCAATAACCTGATTAACCAAGTTCTCCAGCATTAGGACTTAGCACCTCCTTTTTGTAAGGTCTCTTGTATGCTGTTAAATGTTTGGCTTAGACAATTTATAAAAGCCTTTCTAGAGGTCAGACTTAGCCATGGGATGACCCTGTCCTCCCCAGCAGAGCTCAGGAGGAAGGCAACCACTGTGGACCCTCAGAGTGTACTCTCTGGGGAGCTGCTGGCCCCTTAGCATTGTTTGATTTTTGACTTTGATATAATAGATAGGCTTGTGTTTTTTTTTAATTTAAAGATATTAAGATTTAGTTCACTAAAATCACTAAGATTTAATTCACTAAAATTTGGGTATAGTATTTTATCAGCTTACAGTTTAATGCCTAAGTTTCCCCTGAAAATAGCAAACAAAATTGTGTATTTATGAAAAAAAGAAATGAAAAAAGAAAGAAAGCCTAACCCAGGGTATGAAGATTTACCCTTCTGTTTCTTTGCTTCTAATAGTTTTATGTTTTACCTCTTCCATTTAGATCTTTGATCCATTTTGGGTTAGTTTTTGTGTATACTGGAACGTAGGAGTCCAACTTTATTATTTTGCATGTGGATGTCCAGTTTTCCCAGCACCATTTATTGAATTGTCTGTCTTTTAACCCTTGTAGAAGATCAGTGGGGGCTAGGCATAGTGGCTTAAGCCTGTATTCCTAGCACTTTGGGAGGCCATGGCAGAAGGATCACTTGAAGCCAGGAGATTGAGACTAGCCTGGGCAACATACTGATACCCTGTATCTACCAAAAAAAAAGAAAAAAAATTTGCCTGGCATGGTGGCACACACCTATGGTCCCAGCTTCCCCCGAGGCTGAGGCAAGTGGATCGCTTGAGCCTAGAAGGTCAAGGCTACAGTGAGCTGTGATCACACCACTGCACTCCAGCCGGGGCAACAGAGTGAGACCCTGTCTCAGAAAGAAAGGAATTACTGCGAGCACTGCCACCTGCCCAGTGCAACCTTGGGGCAGGGCTGGTAGGGTCGACCTGTGCTGCTGTAGTGCAGGACTCAGAGCACCCTGGCCCAGCACCCGGCAGCATGTCCAAATGGGTCTGGCTCAGCGTTGGCTGCACCTACTTCCTCACCACCCAGCAGATGCTGTGCCAGGACCTGAAATACTTCCTGTACTGCTTATACTAGGCTAACCCTGACAAGGATGAAACTGTTGCCTATTTAATGGTCAGAGACCTCACCTATTTCGGGCCTGTGCTGAACTACCTGAGACATGGCAAGCTGGTGATTAACAAAGATCTTGCGGAGGAAAGAGTGTTGGAGAAAGCAGAATTTTACAATATCACCTCATTAATAAAACTTGTAAAGGATAAAATTAGAGAACAAGAGAACAAAACATCACAGGTGCTCATGAAGCATGTGTACCATGTACTTCAGTGCCAGGAGGAGGAACTCACACAGATGGTGTCCACCATGTCCGACAGTCAGAAGTTTGAACAACTGGTTAGCATTGGCTCCTCTTACAACTATGGAAATGAAGATCAGGCCAAGTTCCTCTATGTGATGTCCAAGGAACTTCACAACACCCCATACAGTATGGCCAGTGAACCCAGCAAGAAGACCAAGATTTTGCAAGAACAAGGTTCAAGGATGTGAGGGACATCACAAAAAATGATTTACTCTTTCCCAAGATGCAATGAACTACCATGTCCAGGAAGCTTGGCTGCGAGAAGGAACCTGCTTTTGATCATTTTTCTAGAGATCTGTGTGTGAATCCTTTTTTGCCTCTGAGGTGGGTGGTGAGAGACAGGTCCAGCTGTCCAAGGCCAGGTGTCCCCAAGGGGAGGAGCATGGCGGCCAGGTGGGTGCTGTCTCTTGAGAGGGGCTAGAGACTGAGACAGATGCTCCCAGTCAGCCCACTCAATCCCTGAAGATCATGTAAAGGACAGAGTTCTTGGTGCTACACATAGTCTGTAAAAGCAGCCTGGGCTTCACTGGCAGGAAGTGGCCACAGCGTCATCGGCGTCCAGCAGGTTGTGGCCTCTGGTCTGGCTGCCAGGCCCTAGACTCAGTCGGGAGCTCTGCCTCCCAGGTGGGATCGCTGGTTGCTCTCAACCTCACAGAGCTCCTGACAAAGGCGGCTTCTGCATCATCACTACTTCCTGGCACCGTTTCAAGGACAGGCCTCTTTCCGACACAGGCTATGATCCTGCCTGACTCAGTCCGGGACAGTCAAGGCTTTTCTTTTTTTTTGAGACGGAGTCTCGCTCTGTCGCCCAGGCTGGAGTGCAATGGCCGGATCTCAGCTCACTGCAAGCTCCGCCTCCTGGGTTTACGCCATTCTCCTGCCTCAGCCTCCCGAGTAGCTGGGACTACAGGCGCCCGCCACCTTGCCTGGCTAGTTTTCTTTTTTGTATTTTTTAGTAGAGACGGGTTTCACCGTGTTAGCCAGGATGGTCTCAATCTTCTGACCTCATGATCCGCCCGTCTCGGCCTCCCAAAGTGCTGGGATTACAGGCTTGAGCCACCGCGCCCGGCCAGTCAAGGCTTTTCAATTTGTGTTTTCCAGGCGAGAGAACTTTATACCCCTTTTCAGTGTGGAGAGACTCCCCAGGGTTTATACTCTGGAAATGCCCACAAGGATTGCTGCATTGAGACTGATCTGTTCAACCCGTTATCATGAGGTAGCAGTGTTGCCTTGTCCCCTACTCTGCGGGCTCATGGGGGAGCTGGTGCCTGTCAGTGCTATGTCACACCTGGCATAGAGGTTGGGCTGGAGGCCTGTCTGCTGGCTTCTGGAGCTGAAGGTCTGGGTCACAGTGAAAATTTGGGATGTTTATGGAGCATCACAAATGCCTCTCTCTCACCACTCTGTCATTTTCTTTGTATAACTGTGCAGCCTTTCTGGGATGTTTGGGACTTCAGTCGACCTTCATGGGCTCCACCCAACATGACATGGGAGCTGATGGGATTCTTTTAGAAACCACTGCCCACATCCTTTGAAAACAGATCTTTCTCAGCTGGTTGTGGGGACCTGTCAGAGTCTGAGGACCTGGTGTGCAGGGCAGGCTCCAAGCTCTTTGTTTCTGGAACTCCAGCTTCCCAAGGAGCACTGTGCAGACTGACCGCCAGCTGCCCATGTGCAGGTCAGAGGCTCTGACACTGTCTGGTTTCCAATGCTTCTGGAGACTTCTTGCCTAGGCCTCATCTTCTTTGCCAATAACCTGATTAACCAAGTTCTCCAGCATTAGGACTTAGCACCTCCTTTTTGTAAGGTCTCTTGTATGCTGTTAAATGTTTGGCTTAGACAATTTATAAAAGCCTTTCTAGAGGTCAGACTTAGCCATGGGATGACCCTGTCCTCCCCAGCAGAGCTCAGGAGGAAGGCAACCACTGTGGACCCTCAGAGTGTACTCTCTGGGGAGCTGCTGGCCCCTTAGCATTGTTTGATTTTTGACTTTGATATAATAGATAGGCTTGTGTTTTTTTTTAATTTAAAGATATTAAGATTTAGTTCACTAAAATCACTAAGATTTAATTCACTAAAATTTGGGTATAGTATTTTATCAGCTTACAGTTTAATGCCTAAGTTTCCCCTGAAAATAGCAAACAAAATTGTGTATTTATGAAAAAAAGAAATGAAAAAAGAAAGAAAGCCTAACCCAGGGTATGAAGATTTACCCTTCTGTTTCTTTGCTTCTAATAGTTTTATGTTTTACCTCTTCCATTTAGATCTTTGATCCATTTTGGGTTAGTTTTTGTGTATACTGGAACGTAGGAGTCCAACTTTATTATTTTGCATGTGGATGTCCAGTTTTCCCAGCACCATTTATTGAATTGTCTGTCTTTTAACCCTTGTAGAAGATCAGTGGGGGCTAGGCATAGTGGCTTAAGCCTGTATTCCTAGCACTTTGGGAGGCCATGGCAGAAGGATCACTTGAAGCCAGGAGATTGAGACTAGCCTGGGCAACATACTGATACCCTGTATCTACCAAAAAAAAAGAAAAAAAATTTGCCTGGCATGGTGGCACACACCTATGGTCCCAGCTTCCCCCGAGGCTGAGGCAAGTGGATCGCTTGAGCCTAGAAGGTCAAGGCTACAGTGAGCTGTGATCACACCACTGCACTCCAGCCGGGGCAACAGAGTGAGACCCTGTCTCAGAAACAAAAACAAATCAATGAACTGTAAACATATGGATTTATTTCTGGACTCTTGATTCTATCCCGTGGTCTATATGTCTATTGGGCCAGTTACTTTCTGTCACTAGTGCTTTTTGCTTTGAACTCAATACTCTCAACATAAAAAATTGTTTTAAAAATTACATGGAGATGTTTCCTGTCTCAGCACACACATGTGCATTGAAGCATGTGTATGGATCATGTTCTGTGTTAGCTTTGTTAGAAGAAGGTATTGAAAATGTGGAACTGCAAGCTTGGAGAAATGAATTAGCCTGGAATACACAGGAAACCTTCCCCACTTCAGGAGTCTGGGCTTTGATCCGGTGCTAGGACCACCACTCTTTTGTTTCTCTCCTTGGCTGCATAGCGTTGAGCTGTTGCTGCTGGCTGGGAACTCCTGGAAGTAGGGCTCATGTTACATACCATTATTTCTCCTAGTAATCTCTGTGCAGGGTCTTATAGATGGTGGCCCAGGGAACTGTCACTGGGTCTTATAGATGGTGGCCCAGGGAACTGTCGCTGAAAAGACAATTGAGAGTAGCTACATAGGACAGTGGCAAAGGTGTAGGCTCTTGAGCCATGCATCAAACTCAGTCTCACCACACTTCCTGTGTGTCCTGGGCAGGCTGCACCACCTCTCTGAGGCAGGAGGTCTTGAGGATGAACAAGGAATCTATGTCAGCTGCTCAGCCCTGGGCCTTGCATGAAGTAGATGCTGTGCAAATTCAAATAATAATTTGTTATTATTAGTCAAAATCTCTAAAGTCATGTCTGTATAGCCCAGAGTTTCATGTCTTCCTGAGTTAAATATGTGTGTCAGTCAGGAGACAGAAACCATGCCAGTTATTTGAGCAGAGGATGTAATAGCAAGGATTGTTAGCCAGGTATAAAGTTGATGAGGTGCCAAAGGGTAAAAAGAACTGTGAAGTGTCAGGGAGGTGGCAGAACTGTGAGCCACAGGTACTACCCTAGGGCTGGGGAACAAATTTGACAGCTTGGTCAAAGGCCCATAGCACTGAGCCTCACAGCTGGCAGCAGGGCCAGTGCATGGTGGAGAAGGCACCCCGTGGGTCTGGGACGTACATCCTGTGTGGGGGCTCTGGAGAGGGGGCTGCTGCTCAGCCAGTGCTGGGGTCTCTGAGTGTGATGCTGCTGCCTGTGGCTGGAAGGAACTGCCACTCCCAGGGCCAAGCAATTGCCAGCAGCTCACAGGGACCTCAGCGTGTGGTCTCCAGGGCTCCCTGTCATGCCCCTGTGGCCTCTCAGAGTAGGGCTGGGAGGCAGGTTTGGAGTGAGAGCCCCAAGCTTAGTTACCAGCCTCATCCAGTTACACAAATGCATCCATATGACCACCTTCCTCATTGTGTGGGGTGGACGTTTCTGTTTGGGCTGGTTTTTCATCCTACATGTCTGTGAGGATTATCTGTGTAGTGTGCTCCTCCTTGCGCCTTCATGCAGTATGTTGGGGCTGCTCATACTAGTGGGCCCCTGACACATTCTCTGGACACCTGCTGCTCCTCCTGTCTGTCTGAAAGGAACAAACGGTGGAAGGGCTCCAGAGCAGTCCAGGTTAGGAATTCAAGGGGCTCCCAGGACTCTCGCTTACCCTATCTGCGCAGGTGTCTGACGCTGGCAGGATTCTGTTTTCTTATCTAATGCCCTGTGGGGAGGGGCTAATTTGAATACCTAGGAGAACCCTCCTTTCCTCCTCCCATTCTCAAACCTGCTCCTGTCCAGTTTTTTCAAAGCGGATCTCAGATGACATCTTTGTGGCTGAATCCTCCAGCAGCTTCTCCTCAGCAAGAACAATACCCCGGGCTCTACCTCTTGGTTGTGTCAGGGCTCCAGGGCTCCTAGTCCAGGGCAGGTGCTCAGTAGATGATTTGAAGACTGAATTTGTTGGCACCAAGACAGGACCTGGTGATCATGGGCACTGCTGAGGGTAGAGGAGCCCCATTGGGAGGCCCCACTAGAGGACCCTCATTGGGAGGAGCAGCCAGAGGAGCACAAGCGGCCACAAGGCTATTACTGACCCTCGGCCCGGCTAGTGCGCATCCGCCAGCTGCCCTCAGCCAGCTCAAAGGGGACTCTGTCTCTGTCTTTCAGGAGTTCATCCGTGAGGGCTGCCTTCACAAGCTCACCAAGAAGGGCCTGCAGCAGAGGATGTTCTTTCTGGTAGGTTTTCTCCCCACTCAAGCTGTGCTTCCCCCCCAAGGGGGATGGGCAGCAGTTCTGTTAGGGATACCACGTGCAGCGGCAGTCCCTTGGCCTCTGTGTAGTTTAGCACTTGGAGGCTTTGGTGCAGGTGGGTAGCGTTGGAGTCAGACGAGGCCAGGGGAGGGTCACAGAGTGGGAAGAAGCAGAAAACAGCTTCTCCGCCCACCCCGGGGCCAGCCTCCCTCCTCATTCCAGGTTCTGAGCACCTGACTATGGGACAAACAGAAGCCAAAAGGTTGTAAAGTCCATATACATGTGGCTGCAAGAAGGTGCTACTGACTGCCAATGGCCAGTCGGGACAGGCTCACTGTTGGCCCAGAAGCCCCTCCCAGCATGTCCTTGTTCCTACCAGTTAGTGGGTTCCAGCATGAACCATGTGGATGAGGAGGTAACTGAGTCAGCACCAGCCAGAATTCCTTACTGCCTCCAGCTTCTCAGCCAAGCTAGCTGGGAGCCGACCCAGCAGATGTACTGGTTCCTGTGGCCACTTCCTGCCTCTAGTCAAAAATGACCAAATGAATGAATAAAAGTCCCCTTTTTGCCAGAAATCTCCAGCAAGCTGAATAGATCTGATGTCCACATGATGAGCAGCCAGAGTCTAAGTTGGTCTGACCATTAAGACACTTGTTTGTGAAGTTCATGAATGTAAAGCTTCCTACTTCTCAGTTCTCAGACATGTTGCTGTACACAAGCAAAGGAGTCGCAGGGACCAGCCACTTCCGGATCCGGGGCCTCCTTCCGCTCCGAGGCATGCTGGTGAGTGGTCTTGCACCCTGCCTGGGGTTTCCACGTGGTGCTGGGCTGGGCCCCACCCACCTCTCTCCTGCAGAGGTGAATCCTAACCCAGCAACACTGAGAGCAGTACCTGCTGAGTATTTGGCCACACTGGGAGCAGCACCTGGTGGGCATTCCTTGTTGGTTGTCTCTGACCCCCATGGTCATTGTTCTTATTGATGCTCAAACTGCCCTGTCTCTAGTCCATCGTTCCCTTCTAGGGAAACCTGGACTCAGCCTGTGGTCTCTGTCAGCACCTGGCAGGACAAGGCCTGCTCCCTGCAAGCTTAGAGTCAGCCTCTGCAGCAGCATCTTCCTCAGGCTGTGTGACATCCACACCAGCCCTCTGTCCCACGTAGGCACATGCCTGGGATGGGAGCAAAGACTCCTCATTTTAGCGTGATCCAGTTCATCAACTTCGTCCTTCGTGGCTGGCTGCTTGTGTTCGATGGAAATACTGTTCTCAGGTCATGGGGAGACTCTCATGCAGCTCTAGAGGCTCTGTCCACTTGCCCTGAGTATGTCCCTGCACTAGGCCTGGAACGGTACAGACAGGTAGCCAAGTCCAGGACTTGCCATAAGGATGTGCCATCGGTCCAGGACACCTCATCACAGTGACTGTCTCTCCCCATGGCCCTGCCAGGCCTCCTGCCTAGGGCGCCATGGATCTAGGGGCTCTAATCCCCAACTCTGCCCTATCCCTTTTGGCTTATTTGCCTTGACTACAATGCTAAAGTAGTCCTCCCTCCCTCCTTGTGGTCCTCCCTCTCAGTGATGTTCCCTCCCTGAGATCCTCCCTTGTAATCTTCCCTCGCTGGGGTCCTCCCTCCCTCCCTGAGGTCCTTCCTCACTCCCTGTGGTCTTCCCTCTCTGGTATCTTCCCTCCTCCCTCCCTGTGGTCCTCCCTCCCTGGGGTCCTCCTTTCCTAGGATCTTCCCTCCCTAGAGTCCTCCCTCCCTCTCTGGGATCTTCCCTCCCTCGGCTCCTTCCTCCCTCCCTGAGGTCCTCCCTCACTCCCTGTGATCTTCCCTTCCTGGGATCTTCCCTCCCTCTCTGGGATCTTCCCTCCCTCGGCTCCTTCCTCCCTCCCTGAGGTCCTCCCTCACTCCCTGTGATCTTCCCTTCCTGGGATCTTCCCTCCCTCTCTGGGATCTTCCTTCCCCGGGGGTCCTCCCTCCCTGGGATATTCCCTCCTTGGAGTCCTCCTTCCCTAGGATCTTCCCTTCCTGGGGTCCTACCTTGCTCCCTGTGGTCCTCCCTTCCTGGGATTTTCCCTCCTTGTGGTCTTCCTCCCCCAGGGCCCTCCCCCAGTAGAGTCCTCCTTCCCTGAGGTCCTCTCTCCCTGGGGTCCTCCCTCCCTGGGATCCTTCCTCCCTAGAGTCCTTCCTCTACCAGTGGGGTCCTCTTTTCCTGTTCTTTCTTCAAGGGTTTTGTCCACTCTCATCCCTCTGCACTGCCTCCTCCTGACAATGAGCACCAAAACCCTCAGGCAGGTGTTTGTAAATTTTTTTTTCTTTTTTTTTTCTTTTTTTTTTGAGAGGAGTCTCGCTCTATTGCCCATGCTGGAGTGCAGTGGTGCAATCTCGGCTCAATGCAAGCTCTGCCTCCTGGGTTCACACCATTCTCCTGACTCAGCCTCCTGAGTAGCTGGGACTACAGGCGCCCGCCACCACGCCTAGCTAATTTTTTTGTATTTTTAGTAGAGACGGGGTTTCACTGTGTTAGCCATGGTGGTCTTGATCTCCTGACCTCGTGATCCGCCTGCCTCGGCCTCCCAAAGTGCTGGGATTACAGGCGTGAGCCACCCCGCCCGGCCAAGTGTTTGTAAAATGTGATTCCACTTTTCAGGCAAGAGGAGGTCAGATTGAATTAGCTCATCTGCCACCACTGGAAGCAGACCCCATTTGTTTTAAAGTATACTTTTAAAAATTACACCTTTATTATAGAAAAAATAATTGAAAATATAAGATAGAAATCACTCATCACTGACCAGGTGCGATGGCTCACATCTGTAATGCCAGCACTTTAGGAGGTCAAGATGGTAGGATCGCTTGAAGCTGAGAGTTTGAGACCTGCCTGGGAAACATGGCGAAGTCAAATCTTTAAAAAAAAATTTTTTTTTTTTAATTAGCCGGGCATAGTGGTGTGTGCCTATAGTCCCAGCTACTTGGGAGGCTGAGGTGGGAGAATCACTTAAGCCCAGGAGGTCAAGGCTGTAGTGAGCTGTGACTGCACCACTGTACTCCAGTCCCAGTGACAGAGTGAGACCTTGTCTCAAATTAAAAAAAAAAAAACCCACAGGAAAAAAAAAAAAGAACTCCCTCATTATTGTACCACTCAGCAGTGATGGCTATAGGCATCTGCTGCACAGTTGCCATCATCCACGGGCTGTTTTGTCAGGGCACTGGTTTTCCTTTCCTTTCATGGCAGCCCCAGTTCATTTAACTAGTCACCTGTCATTGGATGCTTGGCTGTGGCTGGTTGTTGAGGACTGTAACATTGTTGGGTCTCTGTCTTTCTGCACATCCTTAATTATGTCCTTCAGATCAATTCCAAAATGTAGATCTGTCTGAGCAAAGGTGTTTACGGCCTTGGGCACTCCTGCTAAATTGCTTTTGGAGCACCTGTGCCAGCTGACCTGCCCACCGGCAGGAGCTAGTTCTAAACATGCATCTTTCCCTCCACCATGGAAGGTGCTAGGCACCCATCTCTCTTACTCTTCCCAAGTGGGTAAGGCGAGCAGCCCCATCAAGCAGCCCCGTTGTCTCACTTTTCGTCCCTGTGGACTGTCAGGGAGGCCAGCCTGGTCCCTGTGTCCTGGCATTCCGTGCTTTTCCTCTTGGGAATCACTCAGCTTGCTGGTCACTCTGGTCTCCATTGGTCTGTGAGTTTTTTTTTTTTTTTTTGGATGGGGCTTCCCTTTTTCCCCCAGGCTGGAGTGCAGTGGCGCGATCTCGGCTCACTGCAAGCTCTGCCTCCTGGGTTCACACCATTCTCCTGACTCAGCCTCCTGAGTAGCTGGGACTACAGGCGCCCGCCACCACGCCTAGCTAATTTTTTTGTATTTTTAGTAGAGACGGGGTTTCACTGTGTTAGCCATGGTGGTCTTGATCTCCTGACCTCGTGATCCGCCTGCCTCGGCCTCCCAAAGTGCTGGGATTACAGGCGTGAGCCACCCCGCCCGGCCAAGTGTTTGTAAAATGTGATTCCACTTTTCAGGCAAGAGGAGGTCAGATTGAATTAGCTCATCTGCCACCACTGGAAGCAGACCCCATTTGTTTTAAAGTATACTTTTAAAAATTACACCTTTATTATAGAAAAAATAATTGAAAATATAAGATAGAAATCACTCATCACTGACCAGGTGCGATGGCTCACATCTGTAATGCCAGCACTTTAGGAGGTCAAGATGGTAGGATCGCTTGAAGCTGAGAGTTTGAGACCTGCCTGGGAAACATGGCGAAGTCAAATCTTTAAAAAAAAATTTTTTTTTTTTAATTAGCCGGGCATAGTGGTGTGTGCCTATAGTCCCAGCTACTTGGGAGGCTGAGGTGGGAGAATCACTTAAGCCCAGGAGGTCAAGGCTGTAGTGAGCTGTGACTGCACCACTGTACTCCAGTCCCAGTGACAGAGTGAGACCTTGTCTCAAATTAAAAAAAAAAAAACCCACAGGAAAAAAAAAAAAGAACTCCCTCATTATTGTACCACTCAGCAGTGATGGCTATAGGCATCTGCTGCACAGTTGCCATCATCCACGGGCTGTTTTGTCAGGGCACTGGTTTTCCTTTCCTTTCATGGCAGCCCCAGTTCATTTAACTAGTCACCTGTCATTGGATGCTTGGCTGTGGCTGGTTGTTGAGGACTGTAACATTGTTGGGTCTCTGTCTTTCTGCACATCCTTAATTATGTCCTTCAGATCAATTCCAAAATGTAGATCTGTCTGAGCAAAGGTGTTTACGGCCTTGGGCACTCCTGCTAAATTGCTTTTGGAGCACCTGTGCCAGCTGACCTGCCCACCGGCAGGAGCTAGTTCTAAACATGCATCTTTCCCTCCACCATGGAAGGTGCTAGGCACCCATCTCTCTTACTCTTCCCAAGTGGGTAAGGCGAGCAGCCCCATCAAGCAGCCCCGTTGTCTCACTTTTCGTCCCTGTGGACTGTCAGGGAGGCCAGCCTGGTCCCTGTGTCCTGGCATTCCGTGCTTTTCCTCTTGGGAATCACTCAGCTTGCTGGTCACTCTGGTCTCCATTGGTCTGTGAGTTTTTTTTTTCTTTTTTTGAGATGGAGTCTCACTCTGTCGCCCAGGCTGGAGTGCAGTGGCGCGATCTCGGCTCACTGCAAGCTCCGCCTCCCGGGTTCATGCCATTCTCCTGCCTAAGCCTCCTGAGTAACTGGGACTACAGGCGCCCGCCACCGCGCCCGGCTAATTTTTTGTATTTTTAGTAGAGACGGGGTTTCACCGTGGTCTCGATCTCCTGACCTTGTGATCCGCCCGCCTCGGCCTCCCAAAGTGCTGGGATTACAGGCGTGAGCCACCGCGCCCGGCGGTCTGTGAGTTTTTTGTGCACATTAGTGAAATATTTACATGGTAAAAATGCTCACCAACCCTATTAAGTCAGAAATTATTTTCTCAGTTAGTAACTGCCTTTTTACTTTGCTTGCAATTTGGTTTTACCTTGTAGAATTTAAACTCCATCTTGATGGGTTGTGTTTCTCTTACTCTAGAATGGCATCTGGCACATATAGGGAACCCAGCAAATGCTTGTTGAAGGTGTGAATTGAAACAGACGTTCCTCAACTTACGATAGGGCTATGTCCTGATAAACCCATTATAAGAGGAAAATATCATAGTCAAAAATGCATTTAACAGGGCACAGTTGCTCACGCCTGTAATCTCAGCACTTTGGGAGGCTGAGGTGGGCGAATCACCTGAGGTCAGGAGTTTGAGACCAGCCTGGCCAACATGGCGAAACCCTGTCTCTACTAAAAATACAAAAATTAGTCAGGTGTGGTGGTGGGCACCTGTAGTCCCAGCTACTCGGGAGGCTGAGCACAAGAATCACTTGAACCCGGGAGGCTGAGGTTGCAGTGAGCCAAGATCGCACCACTGCACTCCAGCCTGGGTGACAAAGCAAGACTCTGCCTCAAAAAAAAAAGAAAAGAAAAGAAATGAAAATGCATTTAATACACTTAACCTATCTGATATCATAGCTTAGTCTAGCCTACCCTTTTTTTTTTTTTTTTTTTGAGATAGAGTTGCCCAGGCTGGAGTGCAGTGGTGCCATCTTGGCTCACTGCAAGCTCCGCCTCCCAGGTTTACGTCATTCTCCTGCCTCAGCCTCCCGAGTAACTGGGACTACAGGCACCCACCACCACTCCTGGCTAATTTTTTGTATTTTTTAGTAGAGACGGGGTTTCACTGTGTTAGCCAGGATGGTCTCGATCTCCTGACCTTGTGATCCGCCCACCTCTGCCTCCCAAAGTGCTGGGATTACAGGCGTGAGCCACCACGCCTGGCCAGCCTAGCCTACTTTAAATGTGCTCAGAACATACATTAGCTTACAGTTGGGTAAAATCATCTAACATGAAGGTTGTTTTATAACAAAGTGTTGAATATCTCACATAATTTATTGAATACCATACTGGAAGTGAAAAACAGAATGGTTGTATGGGCACTTGAAGTTCAGTTTCTACTGAATGCTTATCACTTTCACACCACCATAAAGTTGAAAAATCAGGGCCTATCAGGGTCAGCTCTGGCTGTCTTTTCCTTGAGGGTTTCTATCCTTTGTATGGGCTCAGGAAGTTCTTCCCCATGCCAGTATTATATTAGCACTTTTTTATGGTTTCATTTTTCTCATTTAATTAATCTCCCTAGAATTTGTTTTTTGTTTTTTGGGTTTTTGTTTTGTTTTTTTTTCGTGAGCCAAAGATTGATTTATTCATTTCTTGCATTTGAAGTACTCTTCGATAACATCCTTGGCCTGAGACTCCTTTCCATAGTCCTTAACTACTACACAACTGCAACCAACCATTTTACGGGGTTTCCCCTCTCTGTCAATTTTACAGAGGCCTACCCATTCTCCTAGTTTCTTGTTGTCATCAACCTTAATTAGGTTGATCTGGTGTTCAGCACAAAGGGCCTCCACCAACTTGACATACATAGGCTCATCACAGTTAGATGCAAGCACACAAAGATGGGCTTGGCGCTTGTCTAAGGCTTTGGCAGCTTCGCGAATTCCACGTGCTAGGCCATCGTGGATGAGGGCGGTCTTCAGCACCTCTTGTAAAGCAGTATTAACGTCCATTACACCTCCAGCAGCAATGCCTTCCTCGGCCATGGCGGTGGGTTACGGGTGAAGCGGAATCTTGAACGCACCCAAGCCTCCGCCTCCGCGCGACCCCGCAGCAGCAGGGAAAGAGGGGTTTTTGTTTTGTTTTGTTTTTGTTTTTGAGACGGAGTCTCGCTCTGTTGCCCAGTCTGGAGTGCAGTGGTGTGATCTCGGCTCACTGCAAGCTCCACCTCCCGGGTTCACGCCATTCTCCTGCCTCACCCTCCCGAGTAGCTGGGACTACAGGTGGCAAATTTTTTGTATTTTTAGTAGAGATGGGGTTTCACCATAGTAGCCAGGATGGTCTTGATCTCCTGACCTTGTGATCTGCCCGCCTCAGCCTCCCAAAGTGCTGGGATTACAGTTGTGAGCCACCACGCCCAGCCTAGAATTTGTTTTGATAGATATTAGATTGGGATGTAACATTTCTCCCCATTATTTGTTGAATCCTTCATTTTCTCAGTGATGTCAAAGACTCTTTATCAAATGGAAGCCTTTGTCTTTGCACTCGTTCTTTCTGGGTGTTCTGCTCCATTCCTGTCTGCCCAGCATCAGTCCACTCTCTCTAGTTGGTGGTGTCATATGAGATAGTCACTGTTTGGGTGAACACATTCCATCCCTTATTCTGCCTCCTTTTAAAAAAATGTTCTTTGCTATTCTCAAGCATTTAATTCTTCCAAGTAATCTTTTAAGTCATTGGACAAATTCCTTCCAAAAACACCGTGGAGATTTCAGTTGAAATTGCAATAAATTTTTGTGTTAACTTAGGGGAAGACTGACATCTGGACAATGTTTTGCCTGCCCTTGCTTATGCTGATTCAGATTTTTTATGTCCAGTGAGAGGCTTGGTTCGTGTATCAGGCTCTGCACAGGGAAGCTGTCCATTCTGTGGAGTTGTTGGTAACTGGCTGGTCCTGGGGACAGAGAACTGGCCCTTGTTCCTGACTGTTAAGGGGAGGATGATGGCTCTTGGCTTGAAAAGATCATCTTTATCATGTTAACACAGTTTCCTTCTGTTTCTAAGAGGTATTATCAGAAATAACACCTTGGATTTTGGCAAAGGCATTTTCAGCATGTAGAGAATTGATCTCCCTTTTTCTCTCTGACTTCTGATGGGATGAGTGTTATCAATCACCTTTCTGATGCCGAACCATCCTTGCATTCCCAAAACAACCTTACTTGATCATGGGACAATTCCTTGTGTGTGCTTTTAGATTAGATTTGGTAATATTTTATTTTGGAATTATTTCATCTAACCACTTATAATTAAAATTAATCCCCAGTGGGTTTTCTTTGAATCTAGCTCTATTAGGTTTTGGTCTTTGGTTCATAAATGAATTGTCCAACTCCCTTTTGGATAATGAAAATGCTCAATGTTTTTTCCTTTGCTTGATTTTCAGCTAATAGTGCTGGACCCCCCGGTGAGTATTTGGGTGCCCTCTGGCCCATGGCTCACCCCCTGGGGTGCAGCTGCCATGGCGCAAGGATGCCAGTGTCCTCCTTGGCCTCTTGTAGAGTCTGTGTGCACTTGGACAGCACTGGGCTTCCAAGCCCCACCTAGCATTGCCAGCAGTCACCTTGTGTCCTGCTCAGGCTTAGGCTGTCAGTTCTTTCTTGGCCACAAGATTTGGACCTTTTCTCCCACCTACAGGTAGAAGAAAGTGAGAATGAGTGGTCTGTTCCACACTGTTTCACCATCTACGCAGCTCAGAAAACAGTCGTGGTGGCAGCCAGGTAAGGGTCTTCCATATCTCCATCCTGAGCAGCCCTGGATGGAGGGGTGGGGACTTCCTTGCCATGAGCCTCTGAGTCCTCTGAGCTGTGAGGGGCCATGGAGCCTCATGGGGTTGTGCCCCCTTTGACTCTGAGCTCTGCTTCCAAGTTATGCAACCAAAGGAGGAGCCTTGCCCTTGTCAGGGGCAGGGCTGCTTGCTGACCCTGACAACATCCCACAAGTGGCAGACTCCAGTGCTGTGGAGCTGCTCCCTCTGCCCTCTGGTTCATAGTGCCTCCAAAGACGGGGTGGGTGAGTGGGCAGGCTCCTGTGGTCTCCCAGGGCACAGGTGCTTCCCCAACCCTCACGTCAAGAAGTGCCAGCAGCTAGTGATCAAAGCCCCAGCAGGGCAGCTTACACCCAGCCCAGCCAAACACTGCCTCCCAGTCCCAGTGTGGTATCGACTCATGTGAGACAGACCAGGCTATGGCACAGAAGCAAGTGGAAACAGCTCCCTCCTCCCCAGATAAGATCAACAGAAGGATGACACTGAGCTCATTTGGTGGCCGGGATGCAGGGACCCCTGCACGGTCACCAGCACCACACTGTGCTCTGTGAGGTGTCTCAGCTCCGACTCTGCAGCGCCCTGGCCAGCATCAGCGAGCACAGGGCACTCAGTTCCTACCAGGAAATGTTCACTTAATCATGAACCAGGGCCAATCTTGCATTTCAGTATCAGAGATGTAGAGAACACTGTTTCAGGAACAAACACCCCTGCAGACCTCCATTCTAGGACCGGGGCCCTGCCTTGGCTCCCCCAACCCTGTCACAGCACCCTGGGGGTCAGGCTGATGCCGGGCCCTCCCAGCTCTCCTCCCTGCTGTTCTCGCTGGAGGGGACACGTTTCCCAGTCCTCTCCACTCATCAGGCAGGACAAAGCAGAATGTGGGAGAACAGGTGCGGTGAAGGCTCGCCCTCCCCTGAGGGCTGGGGCCCTACACAAAGGAGAGCAGAGCCACTGAGCCTCGCCCTCCCCTCCTCCCCGCAGCACTCGGCTGGAGAAAGAGAAATGGATGCTCGACCTGAACAACGCGATCCAAGCAGCCAAGAGTGGCGGTGACACGGCCCCTGCACTGCCAGGCAGCACTGTGTGCACTCATCCCCCCAGTGAGTACTGGCCACGACCCCCCAGGAGACCTCCACTACACCTAAGGAGGCTTTTTCTGGAAGTTGTTTTCCTTGGTCCCCATTGGTCTGCTAAGCTCCCACACAAGCCCCTTCCACAAGGAATGTTCCAGGCTACGCCTCATGCCTGGGTGGGAAGAGGGGTCAATCGGGCTGCTCTGGCAGAAGCACCTGTGGTTTTGCTCTCAGCCAGCAGCTGGCCTAGCACCAAGGGCTCCCCATTTCCCCAGGGCCACCAGAGAGGAACCCAAGGGGTGGAAGTATCTGGCAAGCAGAGGCCACAGGGGGTCCCCCCTGAGACACTGACTTCTCCCCAGGATCCCCCAACGAGGTATCTCAGGAACAGGAGTCAGAAGATGACGCTCGGGGTGCCCGCAGCTCCCTAGAGGGGCATGGCCAGCATCGGGCCAACACCACAATGCACGTGTGCTGGTACCGGAACACCAGCGTGTCCAGGGCAGACCACAGTGCAGCTGTCGAGGTACGACCATGTGAGCATCACCTCAGTGCATCTGGAAGCTTCCCAGCCCTCTCTGCACTTGGTTGCTGAGGAGGGGACCTCAGGAGGGTACCAGCAGGCAGGCTTGGCCCCAGAGAGCTGCCTCTTACTCTCCCCGTGGTAGAAGGTGGTATGGGAAGTCCCCCTCATCCAGTCAAACCCTCTTTGAAAAGGGTGTTTTCAGGTCTGGTGTCTCTGATGAAGTCCAGCAGGCAGGGCATGTCCTCAGGGCCTGGAGCTGGTGTGTAGTGGAGCTGAGAAAAGCCCTCTTAGACACATCCTCCCGCAGCCCCCACTCCCACACCCTGCCATAGAGGGTGGTCTGCCCTATCTCACTGCATGGGCCCCGTCTGCCATTGTGGGTCGCCAGGTTCCTCAGCCTGGTGCCCCCACACCCTTCCCTAAGTCTGCTCTCTTACTCCACCCAGAGCTCTTGTCCTTCTTGCTGTTTCCCCAGAAATCCCCCCCAGCCACAATCTGCTGGGCAGGGGCTCAGGAGCTACCCCAGCCCAAGCCTCTCCCCTGATGACCCTGGGTAGGTCAGGGTGCAGCAGGTCCCTGACATGAGCCCGCCAGCTTGTGGCCAGCCCAGGACACCTGAGATCTGAGCAGGGTCCTAGCCAGGCCTGCCCCCGCCATCTTGGACAGAGTGCAACCCCTGAGCACCGCCCTGAAGGCGGGAGGCTCACGTGAGCCCCGTGAGCCGAGCCACTCCAGCGCCAAAGCCATGCCTAATCCTGGCAGAACTGATGCCACACGCTTAGGGATGGGGCTGCAGTGGGGCATCTTGTGTGTGCCTTTACTTGCCTCTCCCCCACCCATCATTTTAAAGAACCTTCCAGACTTGGCTCAATGTACTATCTCTTAAAGTGTCTTCTCTCTTCTTGCTGTTGGATGGGTTTGTGGATGGTTGTTTACTGAATGCTAACTTTATTATGCACAGGGAAAAGGAACTCATTTTACTTGGTGCCTGGAATGTCACTCTAGGTTTTTAACATGCTTCTGTTGGATTTAAGTACTGATAAAGCTGCTGTCCATAGCAGTCCAGAGGTAAAATCAAGGCCTCGGCCGGAGAAAGCATGCGGGTAGTTAGTCTTGGGGAGTAAACCCACTCCCACAAGGCCCCAGGGAGATGGAGCTGGGGGTTCTGGGTGCTGGTTAATGCACCTGCACTTTTCCTTTATTGACAGAACCAGCTTTCGGGATATCTGCTAAGAAAGTTCAAAAACAGTCATGGCTGGCAGAAGCTCTGGGTCGTCTTTACCAATTTCTGTTTGTTCTTCTACAAAACTCATCAGGTACTGGGGTTTCACTGGAGCCCGATGCAAGTGATGCTGGCAGACACTCACCCTCCCCACCTGTGTCCCTTTTGTATTTTGGTTCTGCCCTCCCATGCTTTGCCCACACACCCTGTGCTCCCTTGGCCCGTGAGCATTTGTATGTGCCACCATCGTGCAGGTAGCAGAGGAATGGGCGCTCCCTGCTGCAACCCAGCCCCTGGAACCCGTGTCCCTGTGCTGTCTTCCAGGATGACTACCCACTGGCCAGCCTCCCGCTGCTGGGCTACAGCGTGAGCATCCCCCAGGAGGCCGATGGCATACACAAAGACTACGTTTTCAAGCTCCAGTTCAAATCCCATGTCTACTTCTTCCGGGCTGAGAGCAAGTACACATTTGAAAGGTAATTTTGTAGGAGGCAGCCTTGGTCAGCTGCCCAGGTCTGAGTGGGACCCCAAGGAACATTGGTATCTCCTCAGCTCCCATTTCTACTCATGGTGTTGGAGGCAAGTTTTCTGGGCCCTGGAAAGGAAGGGCTAAGCAATGCTTCCAGCATTTCCAAACAAACAGCAATGCTTTTTTTTTTTTTTTGAGATGGAGTCTCCCTCTGTCACTCAGGCTGGAGTGCCGTGGTACAATCTTGGCTCACTATAACCTGCACCTCCAGGGTCAAGCGATTCTTCTGCCTCAGCCTCCTGAGTAACTGAGATTACAGGCATGTGCCATGCCGCCTGACTAATTTTTGTATTTTTAGTAGAGACAGACAGGGTTTCACCATGTTGGCCAGGCTGGTCTCGAACTCCTGACCTCAAGTGATCCATCTGCCTCCCAAAGTGCTGGGATTACAGGTGTGAGCCACTGCACCCGCCCCCAGGTTTTTAACCCTTCTTTTGTCCTGCTTGTCCCGTAACCTGGGTTGTTCTTGGGACGGTGTCTGAGCACAAGCTGGCTTACTGGTCTGACAGCCGCCCTCTCCTCCAGGTGGATGGAGGTGATCCAGGGAGCCAGCAGCTCGGCTGGGAGGGCCCCGAGCATCGTGCAGGATGGTCCCCAACCCTCCTCAGGGCTGGAGGGGATGGTCAGGGGAAAGGAGGAATGACGCTCAACCTGCCCAGGTCTGGACACAACTACAAAGAACAGCAGGACAGAGGTGGCCTCTGTCCTGAGGCTTCTCAACAGATGGGAAGTGGCTGTAGTCTCAGCGGATCCCCACTGGCACCAACAGTGTGGGTGGGCCTCATGTAACATCTGGGAGGGGCTTCCTCCCCCAACCCAAGGCCCAGTGCATGCCGCCCGCTATCTGGGGCCCTGAGAAAAATGTGCGGGTCTCGAGCGCGGAGCTGCTCACGCCTTGGCCCCCAGGCCCCTGGCTCATAGACACAGACAGGGCTTGAGCAGTGCTCTGGGCATCGGACCAAAGCCTGGGCACACCCTGCCTCTCTCCCCAGAGCAGGGTCCCTGCTGAGGACTGGCCTAGAGCAAGCACTGGAAAAGAGGCCCTGCCATACACCCTGCATACCCACTGCCAGGACCCTCTCAGACAAGTGTGGCACAGCCATGCTGACCTTCCATCTGGTGAACCAAGTGGCAGCCCCAGGGGCCCGCCCTGCAGGTCACAGCTCAGCAAGTCTAGCAGAAGCCATGCTTGTTCCCCGTGTACCTCTGGAGAAGCAGAAACCAAAGTCCCCCTGTGCCCTGGGAGGGTGGGGTCCTCTAATTTATTAGTGCCCAGCATTCCTTCCAACGGGAAGTAGACGAGTGACTGCTTTGTTCACACACATTTGATTAAAAATAAACAGCATCTCCCCACCTGCATACTCCTCTGCCCGCTCTGTTCACCTTCCAGTGGGCCAAGCAGAGCCCAGGAATCAGTCACAGGGAAGTTTTGAAGGGGGGCTGGGCTGCAGTCTCTGCGTGCCGTGATGAGGACTCAGGACCAGGGATGCTGCAGCCCTGCATGGTCCGGGCCCGCCCCCCCACACACCTGTATGTCTCCAAGTCAGGTCTTTATTGAAAGTGGCAGGGGCCTCTCAATGTTCTATGAAAACTAACATATTAACCTCAGAATATTTAAGGAAACAAGTAAATTCAATTTTCTTAAAAAACAAAACATTCTGGATGACACAAGTACTTATGAGCAGACACAGTACCTGATCCAACACCACAAGGCAAATCTATGGCCATCATGGGCCCTGGGAGGACAGCGGCCAGGGCACTCCTCTGGGGGCTGTCCTGTTGCCTCTCCCCATCTCATGGGAGGAGGAGGCAGAGCTGCCCTGATAGTTGCTCTGCGCCTTGGTCTGAGCGGCCGTAGGGCTGCGTGAGTCTGCAGAAGACCCAGGCATAGCTCATGAGGACCATGCTGGCTGCTGGAGCCCCCGTGAGCTCTATTGCTGGGCCAGGAGAGGAAGGAGGGCAGTGGACGTGTGGAACGGCATCCCCTGACGTGCAGAACAGCACACTGCAGGGGTGGAAGGAGACGGTGACCTGGCATGTGAGGCCCACAGGATCTGACGTGTCCCTGCAGGCACGAAACAGCACGGGGCACCTTCCAAGTCAGCACAGTTCTTATGGAGCTCAGAACAAAAACAAAGGACCTTCTGTCCCCTATCTGAACAGCAGCGCGTTTCAGCGGGTGGATGTCAGGTGGTTTCTGTTGTGTGAAAACCTGCAGAGAGAAGAGCCCACCTCTGTGCCCATGCACCTCTGTGCCCAGGCTCCTGACGGCCTCTTGGGTGTGCAGTCTGCGGTGGCAGCCCTGACAAGCCACCGCACCACGTGGGTCTGAAGTGTCCCCAGTGCACAGGGTCTCAGGAGCAGCACTGATTGGCCCAGACCCCACCCCCAGAGCTGCTGCCCAGGGGTGCCAGGAAGGGGTCCCTGGGTGTGGACCAGGACTTAGGGCATCTGCCGGCGGCATGGCGGTTGGACCCTAAATCCACTGGGCGGTGGAGGGCCCAGTATCTGTCCTGCCCTCTTTGCGAAGGACTCAGGTCAGCACAGGGGCAGCTATGACGTTTTGCCGCCAGCGTGTCAGAGCAGCTCCTGGGAGCCACTAGGTGGCAGAGGTCAGCTGAGGACAGCCGTGTGGCCACTGAGGCCAGGACCCTGAGACGCTCCTCAGACACTTAGACTGGAAAGGCCCTGCCCACTCTCTCCAGCCCCAAAATCTCCATGGCCCTGTGAGCTGGGTCCGAACAAGGAAGAGGATGCCATGCCGCCCCTTCCCGGAGTGAAGCGAACCCATGTAGTTCCAAGCGCAGCCACACCCACGAGTGAGCACTGGACCTCACCCCACGTCCAGCTGCTGCTTGGCGGGGGTGCTCTCCCCAACCCTATGGCCCGGCCACCCTCACCTCTGCACTCGCTCCACCAGATGCACCATCAGCTTGTCTGAGATGCCGGGGCAGGACTCCTCGGCCAGGCTGAAGGCGTTCTCCAGCTCCTCCAGAGCACCCACGCTCCCGCCGCTCTGCTTGTGCTTCTCTTTGAGCTATGGAGAGACCACCTCGCCTGACCCTGGACCCCAGGACAGGCCCTCGGGGAGCCCGCTCCTTTGCTCGGCCAGAGTCATGCTGGAGGCCTTCAAGGCCTTCGTCTAGGACCCGGGAGCCCTTCAGCAAGCCAGGAAGTGAGGTGGCCCAAGGAAGCCTGCCCTGCCAATGGGGACTCTAGTGGTCCTTCCCCACAGCCCCTACCCTCCCTCTACACTCCAGGGAATCTCGGGCCTCAGTTCTCAGGAGGGGACCAGATGGCTTCCTCCCAGCTGAGGGTCATGGAAGCCACTGAATGGGTCCGATCAGACCCAAAAACACGACGCCCAGAAACTCCCAAAGCACAACCAGGCCCAGATCTGACCTCCATCAAGACACCAGCTCTGAGCCTCCTGTCACCGGGCGTCACCCACCCTCGGGGGCTGTGGCTAGGTCAGCAGGCTGCCCGGGACCTGGGCCTGAGTGGCTGCTTCACTGGGGCCTCCACATGGGCTGGGGCCAATGTCCCTCGACTGCTCCACCCTCTGCCATCCTCAGGCAGGCTCTCCTGTCACCACCTCTCACCCACATCCTCCATCCTCCCCAGGCTCCAGGAGGGGCTCCTGGAGAGCACACCTGGGCCCAAGCCTACTGGCCACGCCCTGGGCACAGAGCTCCTGGCTGCATCACATCTCTGAGAATGGTGCTGACTGCCCATTAGCAGGTGACGTTGATGCAAGGTCATGTGACTAACCAGGGAGGCACCTGCCCTGGATGGACCCCGACTACATCTTCTCTGCTTTCTCTATAGAAGGGTCATCTGTGTTTGCACTTGAAGAAAAAAAAAGTCACTCTGGGAACCCAGAGAACCTTGGCAGGTCTGGGAGTACAAAAGGAGTCATCACAGCAGATTCTGCTGCTTCTACTCAGAAAACCCAGCCCATGATCAGCTGCAGGAAACCTAGAAGCTGAAACTGCCCCACAGCACTGTGAGGGGGACATCTCCGCGGAACAGCGTCACAGCCTTGTCCCTGGCAGGACTCCAGGCCCAGCCCCAGCCCCAGCCCCCTTCTCACCTCTCCGAAGACAGGCCGGACCAGCGTGGACAGGCACTGGGACCTTGGCTGCCTCTTGACAGGCTCTGCGGGCTGCAAAGGAAGTGGAGGCCCAGGGTGAGCAGGGCAGTGCAGGCGACAGGCAGGGCACTCCCATCCCTTCAGGCTCTAGCCTTGAAGGGATGGAGACTGGGAGCAGCCTGTCACGGCACATGCCCAGGGCTGGCCCCAAAACCATCAAGCCACCCAGATGGCCTGACTCAGGGCTTGCAACTCCCACCCACCCTCTCCTCACAAATTTGGCCCCTAACAGGCCCTCATCTTCCCAGCACATGCTGGGGCTTGGCGTCTCCACACCAGGCCCAGTGCCACAGTGGGCTTCAGACCACCCCTGCCTTTCCCAAGCTCCTTGTCCAAGCCCCAGACACTGGGTGGACAAAGCTGGGTCCCGCACCCAGCCCCAGGGGTGCACAGCGGGCAGAGGCCAGGCCGGGAACAGACCTTCTGTGAGCTGTGCAGGGCCGTCCCCTTGTGAAGCTTGCTGTGTGGACTCGGCCGGATGGTGGGGGGGAACGTCCAGATGGGGCCCTGCTCCCCGTCCTCCGCCTCGCCATCACTGAAGAGGATGAAGAGTTGCCAGGGTCAGTGGGGGGAGGGCCAGGAGGCACAAGGGCCTCAGGGCACACCTCACGGCCAAGGGAAACCCGAGGCACTGGGCGGCGCTCTGCCAGGCCACGGAGTCCAACTGATGCCTCAGCAGGCCCTGTCCTGCAGCCTTAAGGGGGTCCCTGCCCAATACTATATCTGGTCACTCTCACCCCTAGAGCCCACGCCCCTGCTTCTGGAGTGGGGACCACCCACGTCACAACACCTAGGGTCACCATGAGGATAAACCAGGCCCCTACATGTCAGAGTCCTCGGAGCTCGACTCCTCGCCATGCCCCTCGGACTTCCAGCGCTTATAGCGGTCGATGAGCTCCGTGAGGAAGGAGGTCTTCTTGGTGTAGCGTGTGATGAACTTGTGCTTCAGGAGCTCCTTGGCTGTGGGCCGCTGTGCGGGGTCAGGGGAACATCGGTCACTGGGCCCAGCCAAGCTCTGCCTCAGGAAAGCAAATGTGAGGCAGCCTGGACTGGGGCGGGTCCTCACGGCTACAAGGCTGGGGGGCCTAGGCCTCCGGGCTGTGCTGCCCACCCCAAGCAAATGCCCTCCCTCCATATGCCCGTCCAGAAGGGGCCAGGCCAGAGGCGGGCCTTACGAATCGGGGGTCCTTGTTGAGGCAGGCCTCCACGAACTCCTTGAAGGGCTTGCTGTGCTGGCCCTCCAGTGTGGGAGGGCTGTTCTTGGGAATCAGGAACAGGACGCGCATGGGGTGGAGGTCAGAGTTTGGAGGCTCCCCCTTGGCCAGCTCGATGGCCGTGATCCCCAGGGACCAGATGTCGGCCTGGACAGAACACAAGGACTGTTGCTGCCCTGAGCACCCCAGTCAGGCGTGGTGCCCGCACCCGCCCGCCCACCCACTGCACCCACCTTGAAGTCATAGGCCGACTGCTTGATGACTTCAGGCGCCATCCAGAAGGGGGTGCCCACGAACGTGTTCCTCTTAATCTGTGTGTCTGTGAGCTGCCCTGCTACCCCAAAGTCCGCCAGCTTCACATCCCCCTGCTCCGAGAGTAGCACGTTGGCAGCTGCTTGACACAGGACAGGCAGACATCATCCCAGGCTCCACGTGGCTCCACCCAGGGCCCCCTGAGAAGGGCCAGGGTATCATCCACCTGGCCTCCTAGGGCACAGCAGGGCTGTCCTCAGGACTTCAGCCCTCCTTGCCACTCTCAAACCCAGGGCCACCTAGGGCCACAGGGGCACTGCCAGAAGGAGCCTAAGGTCTCCACTCTGAGCTCCAGGGCTCTCCCTGCATTTGGCTTTTACAACAAATCCCAACGACAGGCGACTTCGCCCACTGCGGGCTACCACAGAGGTGACCCTGACCAAGGGTGTGGCCAACATGGGCCTGCCAGGAAGCCCCTTGCTCCACCAGACTTGTCCCCTACATGAGAGAGATGACTCGGTGCCGGTGGCAAGTCCCTCCCCACAGGCTGGCCCAACCTCATGTCTGCACTTAGCAGGGCCAGACCACACACTGGGGCTACTCAAGCCTACACCTGCTGTTGTGCTGTGAGCCACCGGGAACCAACAACTCTGGCTAAGCAAGGCTGTTCCTACACTCGGTCCACAGCTGGTTTCCTCAGCGTACAAGGAAACTGTTACAAACAGTATCTTCTGGAAATGGAGCAAGACAGAACTGCTCAGTTTCAGGGTGGCCACAGGGTTCTCTATACCCCAGACGCTGGGCACCACTAGCCACTTGCCCCTCACAGGCCCCAGGCTCTCTAAGGTCAGTGGGGCTCAGGACATTACAAGAGCCACATCCACCCCCAGCAGGACCTTTGATGTCTCGGTGGATCTTGCGTTCGGAGTGCAGATAATCCAGGCCCTTCAGAATTTCCCGCAGGATCGTGGCAATGTACGTCTCCTCCAGGGGACCTGGTTTAAGCTGGAGAGGAAGATGGGACAGCAGGGCCTCAGCTCCTGTCCCAGGCCCAATGCCTGAGTTCTCCTGTCTCTCTGACAGGGGAGGGCTGTCCCTGTAGATAGCTGGGGGCTTCATGTTCCTTTACTTCTCAAACACAACTTTCAGATGGGAGTGGGGTGGTCTAAAGCATATAAACCAGCTTCACCTTACTGTCATGTAACAGAAAAACAGGCTCCCAACCATCTCCCAGCGTGCCTGCCCCCACCCACTCCCACAGGCCAGAACCCCTTTCAGCACCAACTGGGCAGACGTGCGGATGGCAGTTCATTTTTGCTTTAGACGATTCGTAATTAACACCTAATGTACCATGACACCAAACGAGAGGTGGCCCCTGGAGCCCATGAGTCTGAGGAGCAGGGGACTCGGACACTGCATGACCCCCCACTGCCATGGCCTATGCCTCACCAAGTCCAGTGCCGAGCCGCCGCCCAGGTACTCCATGATGATCCATAGCTTGGTGCTCTGGGACCGGAGACAAACCCATCAGCATTTGGCAGCGAGAGGAAGGGCATGCTCCAGGGTGGGAGTCAGGCCGGAGTCAGCCAGGGCCCAGGCCCCACCGGTCCCATCCCTGCCAAGAACCCTGAACAGGAAGGGGCTCCCTTGGCCTTGCCCATCTCCCCGCCTGCCACACTGCTGCTACAGATGCTCAGAGGACGGACTGAGTACACACAGCAGTGGCTGAGTCTACTTCACCAAGACCCCGTCAAAAGCCAGGCTGCTGAGCCAGTCCTACAGGGCTGGGAAGAGGGCATGGCTGGCAAGCACATGGCCCAACACACCCATCATCCTCCTGGGCAGGATGGCCACAGCGTTCCCTACACCCCAGACCCTGGCACCACCAGAAACCTGCTCCTCACAGGCCCTCACCACTGCCAGCAGGGGCGCCCCAGAGTGCTCCTGGCAGCGCCCTCACTGCATTACCACAGGCAGGCGAGTGGGTCCCAATGGCCACTCAGAGGCGAATGACCCTCGTGGACCCTGCTCGCACCCTGCCTGCCCAGGGCAATTTCCTGGAGGGCATGCACTGAACTGTCAAGGCCGCCTTGCACCCTCTGGCATGTCACTCAGTCCCTCTGACATGGAAGAGAGGGCCGGGCACAGCACCAGCAGGGCCGCCGCCGCCTCCCCCCAATAGGCACCTTTAGGTAGGAGCCAAAGTAGCGGGTGATGTAGGGGCTGTCGCACTGGCTGAGGACGGTGATCTCCTGCTGGATGTCCTCAATCTCATCCTCGGCCTCCTCCAAGTCGATGATCTTGATGGCCACCACCTCCTTGGTGTGGTTATCGATGCCCTTGTAGACCTCCCCAAACGAGCCCTTGCCAATGCGGTCAAGCTTGGTGAAGAGCTCTTCAGGGTCCACTCGAGAGTGCTGCGGGGCCGGTGGGGACAGAGGGCAGACAGTGTCGGTCACGAGAGGCTGGGACAGGCAGAGGCTGCCCTGCTGGGGAGGAAGGGACCTGTAGGGAAGGGGGAGTCCGAGCGAGTGCGCCTTAATTCTTCTCTGGTTTCTTCCTTTACCCCTTTTTGTTTAAAACCTAAAGTTGGCTGGGTGCAGTGGCTCACGCCTGTAATCCCAACACTTTGGGAGGCCGAGGCAGGTGGATCACTTGAGGTCAGGAGTTCGAGACTAGCTTGGCCAACATGGTGAAACCCCATCTCTAATAAAAATACAAAAAAATTAGTTGGGCGTGGTGGCTTATGCCTGTAATCCCAGCTACTCGGGAGGCTGAGGCAGAAGAATTGCTTGAACCCAGGAGGCAGAGGTTGCAGTGGAGCCGAGACCGCACCATTGCACTCCAACCTGGGCAAGAAGAATCAAACTCCGTTTCCAAAAAATAAAAGCCTAAACCTAAACTCAACTTTCCATGCAAGGGAAAAAGTCCCCAGAAAGTATAAAGAGACCAGGCCAACTCAGTGAACCTGCTGGAAACAGGAACCTTAGGTGATGACAAGGCATGAAGGTTGCCTCATCTAACCTACCAAGCAGCCCCATGAGAGATGTTAATAGGTTAATAGCCCCTGGGGGTTAGGGGATTGGGAGCTCTTACTTAATTTGCTATAAATCTCAAACTATTAAAAAATAAACTCAACAGGCCGGGCTTGGTGGTACACACCTGAGATCCCAGCACTCTGGGAGGCCAAGGCGGATGGATCACCTGAGGTCGGGAGTTCAGGACCAGCCTGACCAATATGGTAAAACCCCATCTCTACTAAATACAAAAAAATTAGCCGGGTGTGGTTGCGCATGCCTGTGATCCGAGCTACTTGGGAGTCCAAGACAGGAGAAGCGCTTGAACCAAGGAGGCGGAGGTTGTGGTGAGCCGAGATCAGGCCATCGCACTCCAGCCTGGGCAACAAGAGTGAAACTCTGTCTCAAAAAAAATTTAAAAATTTAAAAAAAAAACAAAAACTCATCAAAAACAAAAAACTCTCGGTATGTGTTAACCAAGCTCTCCTTCACTCCTAAAAGCCACATATTTAGAAAGGGCTTCCCTCACCCCTACGTAAGTCCTCCTGACAGCTACACCAGCGCCAGGTCAGAAACTGATGCTTTCTTGATGCAGAAAGCTGCCTCCCACAGTCCTCAGATTTAAAGAAGCAACACCTGAAAGTTTCTGAGCCACCGGTGTGGAAGGTGCCTGGTCTGTGACCCAGGCCCAGAGTCCAGGGGAAGCCAGGAGAGGTGTGTCCTCAGGCCTCGATACTTTTTTTTACTTGAGATGGTGTCTCAATCTGTCACCCAGGCTGGAGTGCAGTGGCACCATCTCAGCTCACTGCAACCTCTGCCTCCTGAGTTCAAGCAGTTCTTCTGCCTCAGCCTCCCAAGTAGCTGGAATTACAGGCATGCACCACCACCCCCAGCTATTTTTTTGTATTTTTAGTAGAGATAAGGTTTCACCATCTTGGCCAGGCTGGTCTTGAACTCCTGACTTCAGGTGATCTGCCCACCTCAGCCTCCCAAAGTGCTGGGATTATAGGCGTGAGCCACCATGCACGGCCCCGCCCCCCACAACATCAAGGGTCTTGATGCCAATTTAGTGTGGCACAGCATAAAAAGGCAAAACGGGCTGGACGCAGTGGCTCACGCCTGTTATCCCAGCACTCTGGGAGGCCGAGGCGGGCGGATCACAAGGTCAGCAGATCAAGACCACCCTGGCTAATACGGTGAAACCCCATCTCTACTAAAAAATACAAAAAATTAGCCAGGTGTGGTGGCGGGCGCCCGTAGTCCCAGCTACTTGGGAGGCTGAGGCAGGAGAATGGCGTGAACCCGGGAGGTGAAGATCGTGCCACTATACTCCAGCCTGGGTGACAGAGCAAGACTCCGTCTCAAAAAAAAAAAGGCAAAACGACTAATTATGCCCTCAAAACACTGAGGCCAACTCATTCTGGTGCTGAAGACAGGACGGGTCCTTGGATGGGGGTGCCCTCCACGTTCCTGGGCCTGGGGAGACCGTGCCCTCCAAGAAGGATGGGGTACACCACATACAGCCCCCACGCTCACCCCCTGGACACATGTGTGCAGGGTCCATCCCAGGCCTAAGCCCAGCAGAGGAGTTGGTTGAAGCCAACTGGACATTGCACCAGCCCAAGGCGACATTTCCTCGTGAAACTGCCAATTAGCTGACCTCCCAGGGTTTGCAACCAGGAGGGTGGAAGGGGCGGCACATAGGCCCTCACCTTGAAACATACTGCTACACATCCCTTTCTGAGCCCCAGACCCTGAGGTGACAGGAACTCCGGGGAAGGAAAGCAGTTAGGGGAGGGCCAGAGGCCACCTAACCCTTCCCTGCAAGGCTGACTTGTCAAGGCCTGGGGGTGTGCAGGTGGCCTCCATGCAGCAGCTAGAGCAGGCCAACTGCAGTGTACATACAGACCCTTGCTCAGCCCAAAGGTCTGGCCACTTGAGACAGTTGGTCCAGTCAAAAGTGACCTTTCTCATTCCCTCATCAGTACCAGCAGCCCGGTCCTAAAGCCAGTACCACTGGAGGAAACAGCAGGGGGTGCCTTGAGCCCACCTGCTACCAGGAGTCCCCAAAGCCAAGGTCAAGAAACTCGGCCAGATAGAGAGCTGAGTGCTGCTTGGGGTCCCTCCGGTCATGCTGGCCAAGGTGAGCTGTGTCTGCCCCCAGCCCCACCACTACTGCACAGACCATGTGTTCTAAAGAGAAGCCAAGAAAAATTCAGAGCTGACAAGTCACAGATGCTCAGCGTCTCCAGGCTGGGGGTGGGTGGCACAGATGAAATCAGTACCAGTCCCCATCTGAAAGGAAAGTCAGCCCAGAACATGCAATCTTTTCTTTTTTTTAAGATGGGGGGTCTTGCTGTGTGCCCAGGCTGGTCTCCTCAGCCTCCTGAGTAGCTGGGACCACAGGTGCATGTGAAAGCATCAGCTCATCAGCCCACAGGCTGTCATGGGTAAGCAGTCAGCGTTAAAATATCGCCCTCCTGCCATGGAGAGCATCATCTCCGATTCCTCCTCCCTGTTTGCTCCATTTCTGGTGGAGAACCACCCAGTCCTGGCCCAGTCCTGGATGCCAGGTGCAGGACAAGGTTAAGAAGCAGCTCCTCTTTTTTTTTAAGCTAGAGTCTCGCTCTGTTGCCCAGGCTGGAGTGCAGTGGCGTGATCTCGGCTCACTGCAACCTCCGCCTCCCAGGTTCAAGCGATTCTTCCACCTCAGCCTCCTGAGTAGCTGGGCTTACAGGCACCCACAATCATGCCCAGCTAATTTTTTTTTTTTGTAGAGATGGGTTTTCACCATGTTGGCCAGGCTGGTCTCGAACTCCTGACCTCCAGTGATCCGCAGAAGCAGCCCCTCTTCTGCCTGCTCCTCCTCCAGCAGGCCCAGCGCCACCTTGCCAAATCCTCCATTTGCTCAGTCCATCAGCACTTACTCAAGGCCCTGGGACACCGCTCCACGAAGTCATTAGCCTGCAGGCCTGGCCTCGGCCTCAACCCAACCCTGCCCAGGCACCCGGAAAGACCCCAGGGGAGTCCTCCGGGGGACTCTAGGAGGTCTGGTTGGCGCCCTGAGCTTGGGTCCCCCTGTCTACTCCTGTCTAAGGTGGCCTAAGAGACGGCCTGGAGAAGGCAGGGCCATGGCCTGGCAGCATTACCCAGCACCACGAGGCCTCTGACTCCCAGGGATCTCTTCCCACTCTTCAGGCCTCTATGGATGATGCGTCCTCCTGCTTTGCTCTGTTCCCTGCTGAGGCCATGCTGCTCTCCACACAGGGCCTGGAGTTGAGTCTGCTCCATCACAGCAGCCCAAGAAGGGAAACCCCTGGGTGGGCACTCAGACCTCTACCGCTTCAGAGCAGGAGAGCACAGCGGACCCCCCAGCCAGAGCCAGGGCTCACGAGTCCAAGCAGAAACTGTGTGACAGGAACCCTCTTGGCTGTGATCCTGGCCCTACAAAGACATCGCAGGCCAAGCCAAGGCAAGCCATCCTCACCCCCACCTGGGGAAGAAAGGGTAAGTGGGCCTCTGGCCTGAAGGCTGCGGATCCTCTTTTGGATGTAGCAGCAGCTGTGGCCTGGATGATCACTCAGGCCACTCAAATGACTCTGGCGGTGGACACTGCTCTCCACATCAGCCCTGGGGCTGCCAGGTCTGGGGCCTGCACTTGTCAATGTGTCTGCTGTCAGTGTTGCCCCACAAAACAAAGCGAACAACCCAGCACACACCCCCAGCTGAGACACCCCCAGCTGCCACCTGACAGGCAGCAGCTGAGTGACGATACAGTACCCTGGCACCCCACAGCCATTCGGGCCCTCCAGGGCCAGGCAGGAACTGGCCAGGTAGAGGGGAGAAGCCTAAGGCAGGAGCACAGGCTGTGGGGGGAATGCACCCCACTCTCCCACAAAGGGGCTGCCCACAGGTCCACGGACACCACGGCAACCATCTCAGGAGAAAACCACAGCCCCTCAGGTTTTCTGCCACTATATGAAGTCAAGTCTCTCATCATCCAGGCTGGGACGAAGGACCCCTAAAAGGACAAAAGGTGCTTCCTACCTTTAGAGTCCCTTCCCCAGTGCGCCCACTCCCTTCCCCAGTGCGCCCACACTCCCTTCCCCAGTGCCCACACTCCCTCCCCCAGTGCCCACACTCCCTCCCCAGTGCCCACACTCCCTCCCCAGTGTGCCTACTCCCTTCCCCAGTGCGCCCACACCCCCTCCCCGGTGCCCACACTCCCTCCCCAGTGCCCACACTCCCTCCCCAGTGCCCACACTCCCTTCCCCAGTGCCCACACTCCCTTCCCCAGTGCCCACACTCCCTCCCCAGTGCCCACACTCCCTCCCCAGTGCCCACACTCCCTTCCCCAGTGCGCCCACACTCCTTCCCCAGTGCGCCCACACTCTCTTCCCTGGGTCTGATCACACCAAGAACCAACAGCACACAGTCACAGGGCACCTCAGAGCTCCAATTTCTCATCCCGTGACCCAAAGGAGCTATTTCTGCAGTTCTTAAAAATAAACTGGTGGCCGGGCGCGGTGGCTCACGCCTGTAATCCCAACACTTTGGGAGGCCACGGCAAGCAGATCACCTGAGGTCAGGAGTTTGAGACCAGCTTGACCAACATGGTGAAACTCCGTCTCTACTAAAAATACAAAATTAGCTGGGCGTGATGGCACACGCCTGTAATCCCAGCTACTCGGGAGGCCAAGACAGGAGAATCGCTTGTACCTGGGAGGCAGAGGTTGCAGTGAGCTGAGATTGCGCCATTGCACTCCAGCCTGGGCAACAAAAGTGAAACTCTGTCTCAAAAAAATAAAAATAAAATAAACTGGTGACAGATTTTTCTCCCAGCACCTTAGTCATGTAAGTTACCAGATACAGAAAGTCAAAAATCTGTTAGCTTAATTCAGCATCAGTCAGCAAGCCCCAGCCCCGTCTGTGACCGCACAGGTCCAGGCTGCCTGGCCCAACAGCTGCACGCGGTGTTCCGGGTCTCTAGGCTGGTCCAGTTTCCTCCAAAGCAGCCCTGACTCCAGTTCCTGCCCCTATGCGGACAGACGCCCTTCCTGTTCCACTGCACACCCAGCTCTCAGGAATTCAGCACAGGGGAGTGAACAAGGAGGGCCACACATTTTACCGGCGATTCCAACACCTTAGGCAGAGCCAAGGCATCAAGGAAAGCAAAACCGAACGCTAAGACGTAAAAAAACCCAGCAGCCAGAGTCAAACAAATGGGGAGAGGTACACAGTGCAAGTCTCCAGGTCCCAGGCTGGCTGTCCCCACCCTCCTTCCCTGGCATGCCCTGTGGCAGCAGCAGCTGGTCCCCGTTCCAGACTAAGGGCTCGCTGTAGTGGTTCCCTCCCAGGCTGTCCCACCAGACGCTTCAAGGTGGCTCCACAGTGGAACCGCCTTCTTCAAAGAGGAATGATGAGCCTCCTGTTCGGGCCACCGCCCGTAGCAGGGGTTAAACGGTTCTGAACAGAGCAGCCTTTTCACCTTCCCCTGGGCCAAAGCACACACGCGTTCTCTGCTTTCCCTGCACACCGGCCGCTCAGATCGGCTTCTCCACGTTCCCAGCCCCTCAGCGCCCATCAGGGTCTCCTCTACGGCCCCGCCCAGCCCAACGCGGCCAGAACGGCCGGAACGACCCGTGGCCCGGGCTCAGGCCGCAGTGTGGCCCCTGACCTTCCACTGCCTTCAGATGCCGACACGAGGTTCCCGCCCCGCGCTGGGGGCAGCGTCCTGTCCCGGAGCCGGTGTCTCTTCACGCACCTCCACCGCCCTCGCACAGGCGGAGCCACCCGGGGCTCGGAGTCAAGAGGTCTGCGAGCTCCTACCACGCAAAACGCCACAAGCACACGGCAGAGCCCGGGGGCCGCCCTGCGCCCACCTCGGGACGGCTCCCCCGGTCGCACGACGCGCGCTCCTTCCCTCACCCCACCGCCCGCTCCGGCGAGGCGCCCCTCGGAGCCCCCGGGAAGCTCTGGCGCCCTCGCTGAGAGGCCGCTAGTCTTCCTGAACTGCACCCTCCTCACCTGGTTGGCAAATCCCCGGAGATGAGCCATGGCCGGGCCGCCTCAGACCCTCCGCCGACAGCCCCCAGAGGCGTCTGGATCCCGCGGAGAGGCGTGGAGCCCGCTCGCTCGCCCCTGCGGCGTCAGTCCACTGCGAGGGACAGCAGGAGCGGTCGGCGCCCAGTTCAGTCATCTGAGACCGAGCTCCGGGGCGGCGGGCTGGAGGGGGGCCCCAGGAGACCCCCAGGCCATCGGGGCCCCGCCACGCCCGGGCCTACAGCCCAGGCTCCCGGGGACTCGCCGCCCCTCCCGTCCCCGCCCCCACCTCTTCCGAGGCAGCTTCCTCCCGGTGCCCCCGCCCCGGAGTCCCCGCCACCGAGCCCCGCCCCGGGCCCCTCCCTCCGCCCCCTCCCCAATCGCCGCTAGCGCGCGCCCGGCACCGCGCCCACCTCCGCGGGGCTCCATCCCGGCCTCCCCCGGCCCGCTCTGCAGCGCCCGCGAAGGCTCCCACCCGCAGCCTCTGTTCGCCCGGGGACCCCGGGCCTCCCAGCCCGCGAAGCAACGGCGGTGGCGGCAGCGACAGGAGAAAGCCCGGAGGAGGCGACGGCGAGGGCGGTACTCGGCGTCGCGGCCCGCGCACGGCTCTCTGGGACCCCGAGTCCCACCGCCCATTCCGGGCCCGGAAGCCTGCTGGCATTGGACTACAAGTCCCGGCAGGCCGCGAGAGAGGGGCGGGGATCACATGCGCACCGCGAGGCTCTCTGGGACCCCGAGTCCCACCGCCCATTCCGGGCCCGGAAGCCTGCTGGCGTTGGACTACAAGTCCCGGCAGGCCGCGAGAGAGGGGCGGGGCTCACATGCGCGCCGCGAGGCTCTCTGGGACCCCGAGTTCGGCTCCCGAAAGGCTTGGACTGCGTCTCCCAGCAGGCCGCGCGGCGGGGCGGGCGGGGCACGTAGTCGTTGTCGCGTCGCGCCTTCCGTGCCTCGCCCTCGCTGGCCTTCTGCGTCTGCTGGCGCCTGCAGGGCGTCGTCTCCAACGTGACGGCGGCCGCGCGGCGTTTCCCTTGGGCTCTACCCTGCGCAGCCCTGGTCCGAGCTGGCCAGTAAGGCCCCGCGCCCTCCCCGCCTCGCCCCGAGGATCCACCGCGGCCGCCCAGGCTGCTGGCCTTGTCCTCACGGCTCAGAGATAAGCCGGCGCTGGTCACACCGCGAAACCCCTGTTCGCACCGGGACCCCGCTCGGGATCATGCGCACAGGCCAGGGCGCAGCAAGCCTTGGAGAAGCTACCTGCACAGCCCATTCCTTGCGCGAGCTTCGCATCTTCTGCCTCAGTTTCCTTACCTGTAAAGGGGTGATCATAGGACATCCTTGGTCACACCTTTGTGGGACCCACCTGGGCTAGAGCGCGGTACCCGCCCAGGACAGTGACTGCTGCTGGAAACCGTCGTGGCACTGGGGTCACCTCCCCAAGGTCAGGGAGGGACTTGCAGAGCCCAAGGCTACCTGGTGCGCCCCCCTGCCCCGTGGGCCGCCAGGTCATAGTGCCCCCTGTGTGCATTCCCCTGGTGCACCGCAGGGATCCCCACCTGTCCGGTGAGGAAGATTTGTCTCTCCTCCACTCTGTGTCCACCCTTACAGGCCCTCAGTTTCCACGATGGCTCAGCACAGATGACTACCCTGACCACCTCACACCCCTCCTTCCTCAAGAGGGTTCTGGCGTTTCTCTTTGCTCCCTGGTGCGTGTTTTCTCATGGTGCGTTGCCAAGTCCTTTAAGAAGCCATGTTTCCCTGTCATGCATCCAGGACAGCCCCTTGAACCCCTGGGTCCCCATCTCATCACCCCTGCTTGTTTACATACTGACTTGGTTTTGTTTGTGCTTTGACTCCCCAGGAGGAAGTGGGCTTCCTGCAAGCAGAGCTGTGCCCAGGACCATGCCAGCCCATGACAGGCATTCAGTAAGTTTGTTGAATGAATGTGTAATATATGAAGGTAATATATGTATTGAATGTGTGTAAATAGATGCCTGCTGCATCTCTGGCCTTCATGTGGTCAGTAATTGCTGCACTTTTCAGAAGTGTCTAGAAGAGGCTGGGAGCAGTGGCTCACACCTGTAATCCCAGCACTTTGAGAGGCTGAGGCAGACAGATCACTTGAGGTTAGGAGTTCGAGGCCAGCCTAGCCAATATGGTGAAACTTCATCTCTACTAAAAATAAAAAAATTAGCCGGGCATGGTAGTGCGTGCCTGCAGTCCCAGCTACATGGGAGGCTGAGGCAGGAGAATCACTTGAACCTGGGAGTTCGAGGTTGCTGTGAGCCAAGATCGTGCCACTGCACTCCAACCTGGGAAACAGAGCAAGGCTCCATCTCAAAAAAAAAAAAGGTGCCTAGAAGAGTTTTTCAGCTTTTATCTGTTTGTGGCCAATTGTTAATACTTTGCTCCTGGCTGCTGTCTTGCTAAGCTGCCATCTGGACTTGAACATCACCATGTCTTTTCCTGCATTGACCTTCCAGGCCCTTCTTCCTGTTTCTCATATTTTCCATTTCTTTTTTGTTGTTGTATACTTCTGTTATTCTTCGGGATTTTTGTTTGTTTGTGTGTTTGTTTGGAGACGGAGTCTCGCTCTGTCACCCAGGCTGGAGTGCAGTGGCGTGATCTCAGCTCGCTGTAACCTCCGCCTCCCAGGTTCAAGTGATTCTCCTGCCTTAGCCTCCTGAGTAGCTGGGATTACAGGCCCCCACCACCCCCGGCTAATTTTTGTATTTTCAGTAGAGATGGGGTTTCACCATGTTGGTCATGTTGGTCAGGCTAGTCTCAAACTCCTGACCTCGTGATCCGCCTGCTTCGGCATCCCAAAGTTCTGGGGTTACAGGCATGAGCCACCGTGCTTGGCCTTATTGTTTGGTTGTATCTTTCAACTTTCATATAAAAATTTTCTTTTCGGTGATTTTTTTTTTTTTTTTTTTTAGATAAGGTCTTACTCTGGCACGCAGGCTGGAGTGCAGTGGGGCAATTTTGGCTTACTGCAGCCTGGACCTCCCAGGCTCAAGCAGTCCTCCTACCTCGGCTCCCCATGTAGCTGGGTCCGCAGGCATGTCACCACACCCAGCTAATTTTGTAGAGACAGGTTCTCACCGTGCTGCCTAGGCTGTTCTCAAATTCCTGAGCTCAAGTAATCCTTCCACCCCAGGCTTCCAAAGTGCTTCTGAAGTACAGGTGTGAGCCACCGAGCCTTGTCTATTTTTCACCTCCAAGAAATTTTAGTTTTTTCTCTGGGCACTCACTTTCTTCCTTGGGAATATGGAGCTAATAGTGATGTTCTTGTAGACTGTGAGAATAACACCGTATATAGCAGGCCTAGCCCTTGGCAGGCGCTCAGAGAGTCACTGTGTTGATTATTGACAAGGCTGACCTTGGGTGGGAGGAAGGAACACTCACAGGTGAGCCCCCTAGGCAGCTCACCCTCAGGTCCAGTCACTTGGTGACTGCAACAGCCCTCCGAGGCAGGCAAGGGATAACTGAGAGGTAAAGGGACGTGCCCAAGGCCACAATCAAAATATGGCCAAGACAGGATTGAAGCCAGGTCTCCTGAGTCCTGTTTGTATGCTGCAGGGGATTCAGGTAGGAGTGGAGAGAAGCCGGAGTTGGACTTTGTGTCAGCCTGGGTCAGGTGTGAGTTGGCCAGTCCTCCTCCTGGTTTGACAGACAAGGAAATGAAACCCAGAAAGGGGACAGCATAGCAGCATCTGGATTAGACCTGGGTTCCCCTTCTGATTAAGATAAGAGATTGGGCGCTTGAGCTTGTTCTTCTTTCCCTGCCAGACCTGATAACTTGTCAAAAGGGGCTCAGGAAGGGAGGCTAAGCGCTGAAACTGTTCAGAGAAAGGAGTGGGCTCCCAGCAGGTGAACGCCACAGATGTCCAGAGGTAAAGCTTGGTGACAGTGAAATGGGGGGAAGAGGCCTTCGCTGGAGCCCCCTTCATTGCACACAGAGCCCGGAACGGTGAGGGGCTGGAGCTTCATTGCCCACGGAGCCCGGAACGGTGAGGGGCTGGAGCTGGGGGAGAGGAGGACGACAGCAGAGACCCCATGGAGACAGGTATGTGCATGAGTCAGCAGCTTCCCACTCCTCATCCCTCCATCCCCCCAAACACACACAAATCACACAGCAGCAGGGTTTCCCAGCGTAAATAATGTGGGGATATTCCAGAAATATTCCAGAAAAAGACACCCCTGTAGGGTGGGCTTTAGGCTGGCCTGACAATGGGCTTCCTACCCAGTCTTTCTACGGCAAAGCCCAGCACTTGACAAGTCCTGCTTTTGAATGCAGACTCCTTGTGAGCTTCCTATCTCCTCAGTCTTAGTCTCTTTAAGACTGCTAAGGATATTGTGTATTGGGAAGACTTTCAACATGAACAATAAAGACCAACGTAAATTAGAAAAATGACCTGAGAAGAAATAGAAACACAGAGAAATGAAGAGCATTCTGGAACCTTGTTAGAACATTCCTAGAACAATAACAGAATGCTTCAAGAAATAGCCCAAGAAAAGGTTATCAGGAGATAAAATTACAATAGATTAAAATTACTGCAGGCTCTTCGATTCTTACTTTTGGAGAAGTCAGCCTAAGAAATCTACCCAGAAACCCATGTGGAAGACACGCAAAGGTAGATGCACAGCCAGCCCTGAGCTGTGTGGCCACCCCAGTGTCAGACACGTGAATGGAAATGGAATTCCAGCCTAGGTGAGCCTTCAGACAGCTCCACTCCCAGGTTCTCTCACCATGACTCTATGAGGAGCCACTCAGCTGGACTCAATGAACCCACAGAACCAAAGACAATGATAACATGTTTTAAGAAAAGTAAAGCTTAAGCTGGGTACAGTGGCTTACACCTGTAATCCCAGCACTTTGGGAGGCTCAGGCTGGTGGATCACTTGAGGTCAAGACCAACCTGGCCAACATGGTGAAACCCCGTCTCTACTAAAAATAGAAAAATTAGCTGGGTGTGGTGGCAGACACCTGTAGTCCCAGCTACTCGGGAGGCTGAGGCAGGAGAATGGCGTGAACCCGGGAGGCAGAGCTTGCAGCGAGCCGAGATCGTGCCACTGCACTCCAGCCTGGACGACAGAGCGAGACTCTGCCTCAAAAAAAAAAAAAATTCCTTCAAGGGATGAAGAATCAGAGGGCATCACTTCTCATCAGCAACATGGATGCTAGAAGACAGTGGAGAAATACGTTCAAAATTTTGAGGTGAAACAGTTGTCAACACAGAATTGGTTACCAAGTATAAGAATGTAATAAAGACATTTTCAGATTTGCAGTACTTGGGAAAGCAAAACTCCAAAACTCAGCAGCTAGAAACAATACTTTGTTTTGCTCAAGAATCTGCAATTTGGGCAGGTCTTAATGGGGCACATCTTTTCTGCTTCACGTGGCGCCAGCTAGGGCAGCCTGACTGGGGCTGGAGGATCCAAGTTGAAGAAAACTCGCTTATGTGGCCACCTGGCCTGTACTGGTTGAAGGCTGGAGCTCATCCAGGGCTGTGAGCCAGGGGCCTCCTTTCTTCTCACTGGCTTCTTGAGCTTTCTCAGCATGATAGGCAGGAGAGGGGATGAGGAGGTTGCATTAGTCTGCTCAGGCTGCTATAACAAAATACCAGCCTGTGACTTAAATAAAATAAATAGACATTTATTTCTGACAGTTT